TATTCAGTCAGGTCACGGGTGGGCAGAAGGTGAATGTGGGAGAGGGTTACACAGGGCATGAATACCAGGAGGCGTGGCTTATTGGGGGCCGGTTTTGGAGACCGGCTGCCACGTTTTCCATTTCACTTATGAGAACCCCGAGGTTCTGGTCGCTAAGTAACCTTCTCAAAGTCACAGAGCTAGTAAGGAGAACCCAGGCATCTTGACTTTCGGGTTGTATATTTCCATCCACGTTGTATTGACTTTTAAGAGTCGTGAAAAATTCTTAAAATAGTGTTTGGCCTGTAGGTCATACTTATGGAATCGAATTTTATTTCCTTTCCTCTCTTTCCCACATTGTTTTCTAAGAATTGTGCTGTATCGGTTACTCAAATACTTATCAAGGATCTATTGTGTGACGAGCACTGTGCTACGAACATGGGGATAATGCCGCACACAAAGTAGACCCGTTAGCCATCATGGTGGGGGGTTTTGATATCTGTGTAATTAGCAACAGGAGCTTGAGAAAAGCTCTTTCAAGTGAGGTCAGGCATGGCGGGGGTGGAATTGGGATTTGGCCATGGGCCTGATGGTGACCTCGTGTTAGGCAGTAGCAGGGTGTGGGGAGGGAATCAGGATGGGAGAAACACTGCCTGCCTTCTTTGTACCTGCACCTGGTGGCTGCCATCCAGGCCTCCACTGTGTTATCTAAGCCTGACTTGCAGATCGGGGCACGCTAATTAGTATTACAAAGACCCCTGGTAAAGGAGGCATGTAGCAAACGATTTCCATTTTAGAACCTTTTTTTCATGTTTATTTTTGAGAAACTAGAGAGACAGAGCTTGAGATGGGGAGGGGCAGAGAGAGAGGGAGACCCAGAATCCGAAGCAGGCTCCAGGCTTCGAGCTGTCAGCACAGAGCCCGATGCGGGGCTCGAACCCACAAACCACGAGATCATGATCAGAGCAGAAGTCAGACACATAGCTGACCGATCCACCCAGGCGCCCCTGATTTCCATTTTTTTTTAATGTAACTTTCACTTTTTGTGTGTTATACAAATAGTACCTGTTCATTGAAGGAAAAGTAGGAAAACAGATAAGGAAAGAAAGAAAGAAAGAAAGAAAGAAAGAAAGAAAGAAAGAACAAAAGAAAGAAAAAAGAAAGAAAGAAAGAAAGAAAGAAAGAAAGAAAGAAAGAATCCCCAGTATCTACTAACCCTAGGTAGTAACTATTGACATTTTGCCATTTGATGCTCATTTTTCATAATCTGTAGAGAAGTCGAATCACTATCTTGTACATCCAAAATTAATGTTACATGTTATGTCAACTGTGCTCAAATAAAAATTTTCTTGAAAAAAAAATCACATTTTTATTGAGTATGCTCTGCGTTGAGAACATGTCAAATGCACATATTTGGAACTAGTCTTTGTATTTTATTTAGCAATGGGTCACGAACACCTTCCTATGCCAATAAATATGCCATCGCTTATACTTGTTCATTGTATGCCAACGTGTGGTTATTGTGTAATATATTAACGAGTTACTTACTGTTGCACATCTGACTTCCCTGCAATTAGCATTCTTTAAAAAAAAATTTTTTTTTTTTTTACTGTTTATCTGTTTTTGAGAGAGACAGACAGATTATGAGCAGGGGGAGGGTCAGAGAGAGAGGGAGACACAGAATCCGAAGCAGGCTCCAGGCTCCAAGCTGTCAGCACAGAGCCTGACGTGGGGCTCGAACCCACGAACCATGACATCGTCACCTGAGCTGAAGTCCAACATTTAACTGACTGAGCCACCCAGGCGTCCCTATAGTTAGCATTCTTATAGCTAAATGGTGTGCATATTCTTAAACATTTCCTTAGTATATATTTCTCAAGGTGAAAATGCTGGACCGAAATATGTGCACATTTTTTGACATACTTTTTTTTTTTTTTCAAATTAGGAGAGATTATACCAATCAAATGGCCCAGCATCGAGTGTGTATACCCATGACCCTACTCCCTGACTAAAACTAGTTGTTATTTGGCTTTAATGAAAAAAAAAAAATCACTCCTATTTTGATAAGTGAAACGTGGTATCTTGTGTTATTTTAGTTTGCAGTTATTTGATTAATGTTGAGGTCTAATTCTTTTATACCTGTACTGATTAATTCATTGGATCCTTTCTTTACCAATTGTCTGTGTCTGTCCTCAATCTGTCTGGCTTCTATGAATGTACAGCTTTGTCCCCTGTCTCAGCCCCAATCCCGAGCCCCACTTTTGTGGCCAGATGGCTCTTGGTTCTTGTTTTTGAGTCTTTCTTCTAGGACCCGCTTACATTCCACTTCCTGTTGGACTGTTCCTCTGACTTACCTTCCCAGGGACTGCGCTTCTGCCCCTCATCCCAGTCTGTGGATTCAGTTCCTGCCACTTTCTTTCAAACCTCCCTGGTGCTGACAGTTCCTGCCAAGACCCATAACATCATCTGCCTTCCGGCGCATCCTGCCCGTCGAGACCTGTCAATACCCCCCATCTCCAACCTATTCCTGTGGGTGGACCTCTGTAAAGCCGGCCTGTTGAAGGTCATGCCAGCCTCTTGCAAGACACCCTCACACCCCCGCCAGGCAGATTCCATCCCTCCCCTTCTTGTGTGCCACCAACATCTGCTTGCTCCGGTGGCCGAGACCGCCACCAGGCATGGCCTTCTGCTCTCCCCAACTGGGAATACACTGTCCCTTCACATCTGAACCGAGGAGGAGACAAAAGCTAGAAAAAACCGGCTGACCCCAACTGGCATTGCAAATAGGCTAAGGTACCACCAAGGTGCCACTGACCCCTGAGTCCAGCTTTCTGCCCACATGGTTGCTGAACCTGACCTCTGGATTTCGGGAGGCTCGTGAAGCCCTTACGAGCTCATGGATAAATGTGTGTTTATTTGCATGCACGTTGTCCGTGGGAGCTCTTTGTAAGATTCTCGAGGAGCTAGTGATCCACGAAACGTTTACGAAACCGGGACCCCGAGGATTTCACTGAGTAGCTAAGAACAAGTCACTGCTGTCACCCCCTTCCCTGTTACACTCTTGATAATCAGACCAGTGGGCCCCATGCAAGATACATAACATAGAATCCTGCAGGAGAATCGTTGCCGATGAAAAATGTCCTTAAATTTGGGGTTTTTTTAGGTTACCCGAACAGGTTTAGGTTCCTTGACAGAGGCCCCTGTCCCAGGTTCTAGGAAGACCCCAAGTCTTTGAGCCTGACAGCATCAGCAATCACATGATAATCAGTGAACGTCCTGAGATAAGAGCATGGGCCACTCATCACTCTCTCTGCCCTGGTGCCAGTGGCATTCTTGGGCCGGTGTAGGGGGGCTTCTAGAGGCAATGCTTGCAAAGAGAGACCGAGAGCAGCCGCGTGTCTGATCTGGGTGGCCACGTCGGCACTCTCATGGGGAGACCTAGAAACCACAGGTGCCGGTGCGACAGAGGAGGAGGGTGTTTGGAAAAGGGCAGAGTCAGGGCACACAGGATGGGAGCATAGCTGAGGTGGCTTAAATCCCACTGGCTGAACTCTCCCGCGGCACGTGTATCTCTTAAGCTCATGGATCTGAGTGAGAAAAGCTGTGTCTGGGGCCTAGCTCTGCACCCACAGACTGTGTGACGTCAGAAAAGTCCCTTTCGCTTTTCAAGGAGAGGCTTTTTAAAAATTTTTTAATGTTTATTTACTTTTGAGAGAGGGACAGAGAGCATGAGCAGGGGAGGGGCAGAGAGAGAGGGAGACACAGGACCCGAAGCAGGCTCCAGGCCGCGAGCTGTCAGCACAGAGCCCGAAGCGGGGCTCGAACGCACACAACTCGAGATCATGACCCGAGCTGAAGTTGGACGCTCAACCGACCGAGCCCCCCAGGTTCTCCTAGACAAAGACTTTAAAACAACTGTCTTAAATAGGCACAAAGAACTAGCCAGCTGCTCAGAGTAGCTGAGTGGGGTACCATTCCACTCCTCCACGTTCTAAGTTTTCAGGGGCACCTCCTGCTCTGGTGGGTGGGGGATGCCTACCCCCCAGTCCAACACTGCCTGAGACTGGGTGGGTGGATCTGTAGAAAGCTGGGGTTTCAATATTAACAAGCCCACTAGCTTGAAGCTGCATGACACCTTCAATTGTAGCCACTTAGGAAATAAAGGTAATCTGTTCATCTCCCTTCCACTGGACTCATTTGTCTTATTCCTAAATTGGCTGAGAACTCAGGCAGGGGAGAGCGGTTCTGTTCACTGGGTCCCTCAACCCCCAGTAGAAGAACAGGGTTGGACAAAAGATGAGGCCAGATGAAGGAACATGCCTGGAATGCCAAACTTCTTGAGGCCGATAGCTCTTAATCCTGTTGGGGCTCACAAGGGTATTTGAGGGACTGATAACAGTTGTGAAAATTCTTCCCGGTTAAAGGGTAATCATCAAAATGATCTAGTTGTCTTTTAAAGATTTATTTATTTTTGAGAGAGAGAGAGAGAGAGAGAGAGAGAGAGAGCACAAGTGGAAGAGGGACAGAGAGAGAGAGAGAGAGAATCCCGAGCAAGTTCTGGACTATCAGCACGGAGCCCGATGTGGGGCTCCAACCCACAAACCGTGAGATCGTGACCTGCGCTGAAGTCACATGCCTAACCAACTGACCCACCCAGGCACCCTCTTATTTTTTTTTAAGCCTCTTTATTTTCAAAGAGAGAACAAGCAGTAGAGGAACAGAGAGAGAGGTAGAGAGAAAGAGAATCTCAAACAGGCTTCACATTGCCAGCACAGACACTGATGCAGGGCTCACACTCACGAACCATCAGATCATGACCCGAGCTAAAACCAAAAGTCAGGAGCTTAACCGACTGAGCCACCCAGGTGCCCCTGGTATTTTTTTTTTTCTAATACAGATCCCCTAATCCCATCCAAGATATCCTGCTGCAGATTCTTCAATGGTGAAATCCAAGTTTTTGGTATGGGTAAAATCTCCTGCAAATAATACTGATGTTCAATCAGAATTATGTTCTATTTCAGGGTGTTCAGAGATCTCCTGCAGCCTATCCAGGGGGCCATCTCTCCCAGTACTAAGAACCCTAAGTTCAGGCAACAGGAGCGATTGTACTCTGGACCAGAAAGAGCCACATTGCACATCAGTGATGTGGTCTTGACACTGATGTTGGCACTTCGCATCAGTATGCAAGTGGAGTCCCGGAAGACTTACGGGACTAAAGGAGGAATTTTGTTTGTGGAATCTATGGCAGAGATTTCCAGGCCTCCAGGACCCTGAAAGAAAGAGGCTAACGACCCCTGCACTGGAGAACATCGGGAGACACCAGGATTCTGCTGTTTGCGATTTGTGTCTGCTTCTCGTCAGCATCGTCTCCGAGACGTGGTCCTCACGTCTGGACGATGAATTAAGCAGACATGGGGGATGCTTCCTCCTCAGTATTCCTTCCGCCTTTGCATTCATTAAAAACAAAAATGACCCTACCAAACAGCAGCTGCTCCTCCTTGCTCAACCTAAAGCATATAATGCCAGCAGTTTTGGAAACGGCAACAGGCTGGTCTGCGTAGAAATCTCCAGAGCATTGTAGGCTAATACGTTAAAATTAAAGAGAAACAGAAGCCATCACTACAAATTGCAACATTATTGTTCAAGCCAAGATCGTCCTAATTATAAACTAGCATTTTTATAGATGTCACAGGGGCTGTTTTAGTGCCGCTTTGCTGATGCTAAAAAGATAGTGTGGAAATGTGATCAGGGACTCTCATACTACTGCCTAACTGGAGGGAAAAAAAAAGTTAATTAGGCTCTTTTTGGCATATTAGTGAAGACAGGCTTATTAGACACATTTACAAGCTAATGATATGCCTATACTCTGCTCTCACAAAAATGCATTTCAATAAACTGATTTACAGTTCAGCCATTTTCCTCTCTTTAACCAGTACAATCACAATTACATTACCCACATTTAATTGGCATGGAATCTGAGCGTTTCCAGGGACTGTTCTATGGAATGGGGGTCCCCACTCATCCTGCCTCCCCCAACCTGTCTTGGACCAGTCGCTTCCCACCCTGTTTGTCCTTCAGCCCCCTAGGTTGAAGAGCCTTGACTTGACTAAAGACCTTGGGGTCACAGTGGTGGATTTCAGAGCTATCACTATGGAAAAGGGGGTGTATGTCGGTAGAGGGGCAGGTGGGAGGCAGTCGCCGGTGGCCTGGGTAGCCAGGGCCCCGCTCCTTCCCAGGCTTCCTGGGGAGTGAAGCAAGCGCTGGAGGAAAGGGACATTTCCGTCTCTAGCTCAGAAATCAAGGACATTGCCAGTGGGCCTAATTCATGCTTGTCTGTGCAGGATAACCCTGTTCTCCACCGAGGCCAACCTTGCACACTACCTTTCATGATCCTTCTAACAAACACAGACACGGGAGCCTGTTATCACAGGAGGCTACTAACCTTGGTGTCCACGTCAGTAAAATGGGGGTTCTAAACGTTCCTACCTCAAAGTGTATTTGAGAAGATTAACTGAGGTACCACTTATAAAGTGCATGGCAAAGTGCCTGCTTGTAGTAAATGCTCAATAAATATTACCTATTCTCATTATTGTCATATTATCATTATCGCTATTACTGAGCTCCTGTGTTTAAAAGCAGCCGATGAGTTTCTATTTCCTACTGGAGCAAATCTGACTTGCTTAACAAGGCCCTTAAAGTTCTGCAGATTCTGATTCTAATTTCTCTTTCCAGCCTCCTCACCTTTCTCCTACAACACAGTGTTTTAGCCACACAGAACTGCTGACCTTCTGCAGCATTGCTTTGTCCTCTGTTCGTGCTGTGCCCTCCACCTGCATGGCCCCGCCCTGTTGCCCAACCACCTTCACCAGCTGGTCTTCCAGAAGAGAGCCTCCCCCCCCCCCACCCCCGCCCTCCTCCAGAGCTTAGCTCGAAGCACCCTTCTGGGCTGTCGCCCAGGCAAGGTCATAGCCCCCACCCAGACTGCACCACACCTCTTCTGGGTATCATTTACTTCATAGTACGGGAGTTTCTTGTTTGCCACCCCATTTGCCCCGTCAGAAGATGCACTCTTCAAGGACAGACACCACAACCAATTCCGGTTTTTATACCCAGCATCTGATGCAGTGCTAAGCACTGCCAGGTAATACGTGAACGTTCTGAATCCAATGGGATAAAGTTGGGTTCAACTAATTCGAACCAGAGTTCCAGCTAGATTGGGTGCCATCTAAACGGCTTTGTAGTCCACAAGCCCGTGATTTTAGAAAATACTGGATTCAACTCCCTTATCCGAACTTCACTTTTTTGTCTATACGATGTGAATGGAAATTCTTAGGTCACAGTGCTATTGGAAGACATAGTGGGTCAGTTTATGTGAACAGACTGAAAACTCCAAGGGCCACACAGATGGTCAGAAGCACCATTTCCTTGCTTTCCCTGGTGCTTCTGGAAGACGGCAGGATAACAGAAAAACACGTTGTCGGTGTAGCTTGACCTGTATTTGTTGTTGATGTTTTTCCCCATTTCAGTTCCCAGAGTAAAAGCGAGCTTAGTATCCTCCCTTCCCCAGGGAAAGGGGAGCATTTCTTGGTGCCCATTAGACAGGATGAACCTGGGATGCTTGGAGGTCAGTCTCTGTACCCGTAGCCTTCACGCTCAGATTCCAGTCTCCGTTCTCGCAAGAGAAGGAACCTGGGAAGCACCCTTTCTCCTCCTCTTTCCCCAGCCCCTCCATAATAACAAAGCCCAGGCCCTCTTTCTATGCTGATAATCATCATCAAAGACATTCATGTTTAGTGCTTGGAAATGACTTTGCATGCCGGTGACTAACAACATTACGAACAGTTATTTCCTTAGAACGTTACTGTCTTACCATCAAGGCAAATGTTCCTTTTGTAAGGTAATAGATGTGGCTCTGCTCATCCTCAGCCCTTCTTTGAGATCAAGTTACTCAAGAGCAGTGACCTGCAAACACTTTCCCAAAGTGTTTCCCGAATCACTTTGTTCCAAACAGGACCCCTCCTATCTGAGGCATCTTTTGAAGAAAAAAAAGGATTCATTCAACAAATAGGTGGACAGGGGGGAAGGTCCATTCAGTCCAGAACAGTTGATGCAACAGTTGATGCAACAGATGAACCTAGATCCCCAGGTTCTACCATATACATGAAACTGTTCTTTATCACCCAGAGGTGCAGCCAGGGTGGCCTTCCTTAGAAGCATTCCTGTTCTGCCCCTGCTGAGCTCAAAGAGACAGACCCCTAACTGTGGGAATGAGAGAGGTAAGATACATTTCCTGCTCTCCAGACCACCGTACCATCACAGCCTACAACTGCACCAGACGTCCACCCTCTGCGGGAACACAGCTGCCATAAGGGGTCAGGGGTACCACAGAGCGGAAGATGCTGCATTGAAGAGGTCACGAAGTCAGCTTGACTTACAGGACACACCTGAGTGTCCACCATGATGGGTGTCCCACACTTTTCTGAGGTGACAACGATTGACAAATTCACAAAATATCCCTACGTGTGTTTGTCTGGATGTGCCTGACAACACAATCGTGCTTCTATGGCATGCCAGTGTGTTCAGATCAGAGGGAACAGGACTGTGTGACACTGGAGGGTAGTGACCCTTTCTCAGTCACCGGCTTTGTGAGTTCGGACCTCGACTCTGGTACTTGTTGCCAGTAGACAACGTTGAACAGACCCCTCGACCTCACAAGCTTTGTCTTTCTCACCTGCAACATCGGGATGGAATTGGCCCCTCACTGTGCTGTCCTGGGGACTGGATAAACTAAGGTAAATGAGACACGGAATACAGTGACTGGGGTCTAGCAGGAGCCTGGGTCATAGTTGTGGTCATTGTGGTCATTAGAAGTGGTGCTGCTAGAGGGACCAGTATTTTGGCCATGGCCTGGCGCCCAGTGCAATGAACACAGAGGACGCTCAGTGAATTAAATTTAAGACCAAACAAATAAATAGAGGAGTGACTCTAGGATTGCATTTCACATTTTAGTAAAGGTTACTGAGGGAGAGAGTATCCCTAATTGAACCAGAAACCACTGTGCAGATATGTTACCTTAAGCACTTAGTTACATATCGACGATAGCCAGCTTCTGGAAAGAGCCCAAAAGTCCATCAGCTGACAAGTGGATGAAGAAGACATGGTATATATACGATGGAATAATACTTGGCCATCAAAAAGAATGAAATCCTGCCATTTGCAACAACACGGATGGAGCTGGAGAGTATCATGCTCAGCAACATAAGTTCGTCAGAGAAAGGTAAACATCACATAGTTTCATTCATATGTGGAATTTAAGAAACAAAACGGATAGGGAAAGGGAAGGAAAAATAAGATAAAAAGAGAGAGGGAGGCAAACCATAAGAGAGTCTTAAATACAGAGAAAAACTGAGGGTCGCTGGAGGGGTGTTGGGTCGGGGGATGGGCTAGATGGGCAAGAGGCATTAAGGAGGACACTTGTTGGGGTGAGCGTTGGGTGTTACCGGAAAGGGATGAATCGCCAAATTCCGCTCCTGAAACCATTATTAGACTATATGTTAACTAACTTAGATTTGAAGAAGATAATAATAAAAAAGAAGAACTTAGTTAAAATTCCTGGCAGATTTCAGGGTCTGGTGGGACAAGGGAGAAGCCACACCGGTGACGTCCGGGAGGGCAGTGGCCACGGGACCTCAGAGGAAGCAGGGAGGCCAATGGCAAGAGACGTGGCATCCGGCCGGAGCCTGAACAGTCTCCCTTTGCAATGACAGCAGCACCAGCAGAGGCAGCAGGTCGCTGAATGTGGTGGAGGTGGTGACACTCACTGGGGACAGAGAGAGGAGCAGGACCCGGGAACACCGCCCAGCAGCTGACTGGGTTTATTCTTGGATACACGAGAACTATCTCTAGGGGCTGCCAGAAATATGAGCATGTGTGTGCACGAGGGTGTGGATGAGTGTGCGCCTGTGTGCACTTGTGTGTTTGGGGTGGTGGTACTTAGCATTAAGTCCTCCACAAGCAGGTGCCAAGAGAGTGTACATTATTAAAGTTCACACGGCCTCAGGCTCCATGAGAGAGCAAATCCTGGGTAAACTGGCCGGAAAGGCAAAGTTTCCTCTTCCAGGCAAAAACCATTTTTGAGGAAGTTCCCGGCACGTTCAGTAGAGAGTCGTCGCAACCTTTAGAGTATACAATGGGGCTAAAGTTTCTCATTTGTGAGAAAAGAAAATGGTCTTGAGTTTTAGGACGTACTTTACGTTTTTCAAGCAGAGGTGTGTAGAGCCAAAAACTGGACCTAAGTCCCTGGAGCCCCGGACCCCAACCTTAGGCATGTGCTCAAATGGGATGAGGTCCCCACCCATAGGAATTCCAGAGCCACCTACCAGAGTAGGGAAATGGGTGGCGGGGGGGGGCCTGAGCTACACAAGGCAGAGCTGGGGGTCCCAAGGCGCTGTGCGACAGTGAAGAAACGTGTGAG